TCTTGGCTATATGTGGAACACATAACATGTTTCTAAGATGCAATAACCTTGAAGATGACTTAGAAAGTAAAAATGACTCACCTGTGTGTGTAACAAGGACAGATTGGCCATTCCCAACTTGGACTGTGGAGCCACCTTGATAATTGTTTTTAAGAAGCAAATTAGTGGCATCGGCAGTCATGTGATTTGTGGCTCCTGAATCCACATACCAGGTTTGGTCTTTAACAGTTTGTGGAGTAGCTATGGACAATTGATTAAGTTGTCCTGAAACACTTGAAAGAACATTCTCTGGTATCGAAGTCATGCTAGGAAAATTGATTGAAGAACTAGGAGACTGATAGATCCTGTAAGACTTGAACAACCATTCTGAAAGTTTGTTAAACTAGAGCCTTACAGGCTTTGAAAACCTTGACAGTATGGAGAACTCTCTTGAAAACCTGGAGGATTCGAGTAAGTAGAGGTTAATTGTTGCATTGACTGTCTAGGCAAATTCTTTGCCGCAAACATGCTTGAGCTGATTCACTTGGTTGTCCAGGATTCTGACTATTATGGGATGGCATTAAGGGACTAGCAACAGGTACAGGCAAACCTTGAAATCCTTGATCGAACCTGTGATAGCACTATACCGCAGAATGTCCTCCTTTACGACAAACTTGGCAGATTAGTTTAGGCCTAAAATAGCCACTGCCTCGACCCCTATTTCTCATCATATATGGATTATACGGAAACATGTCAGAGTCAAAGTTAATAAATGAGTTATTTGCTGGTATAAATTGAGATTGGTAAGGTAAAGAAAATTCAAGTTTGGGACTTCCTTGACACATGGGATTTCTAACAAGCTGAGGCATATTAGACACATTAGAAACCATTGGTGCAAAGGAGTGCATCGACCTGTTAGAAGACAATGGTACATTAGACGACATGAAGATCTGATTTGACAAATTCACACCTCCATTCATATCTGATACAAGTTCTATATTTTTGTTCTGAGATACCAAGGACACATCATTGCTTCCTTTACTGAATCCTTGTTTAGAAACTACAAAGGCTGATCATGAATACAATTGTAGGCATTATGTTGTCTCTCAAGTCACATCTCGTGCTTCTGAAGTAGAAACAGAGCCTCTTGTAACATAGTGCTACTACTATTGGAAGTCAGGTTAGCAACCATGGCATCATATTCTGGTCCTAACCCGTCAAGAATGTACAACAACAGCTCCTCATCATTTATATTTACTCCGCAACCAATTCATCCCCCAATTCTTTCATCTTTAATACATATTCACTAATACTACACGAATCTTTCTTAGTGGTTTGTAGTAATTTCTTAAATGTAGTGTCCTAGCTTTAGAAACTGATTGAAACTGCAATTCCAAGATGTTCTAGATTTCATAAGCAGTATTGCATTTAGCTAAATGTTTAAACATTGATTCAGAGATAGTGGAAAATAACCAACCAACAAGGAATTGATCAAATTTCTTCCAAGTAAAGTAGTTAGGGTTTGGTTTCTTTACCGTCTCCCCTGATTCATCTGACTTCTCTAGCAAAAACATTGAAGGACAAGCTTTCTCTCCTGTAAGAAAGCTGTCCAATCCGTGAGGGTTAAAGCTGGCAGAATTTGCAACCTCTAGAATGTATAATTCCTCTCCCACAGCTTGACTGAGATTGAAGGTAAAGTAGGAGTAGCAGCTATAGCTGCACAACTCCTAAAAATGGAGCCCATTGTTCCTAAAATTGAGGATGAATTAGCTAAATCAGAGTTTGGATTCACCATAGACGCGTGTCTAGGGCTCTGATACCATGAAGGGATTTGTGTATTTGAAGAAAAATTAAAGAAGAATCAAGAAGAAAGAAGATAGGATACGTGACTGGGTAAATGAATTTTGTTATGTTTTTCATTAAACAAACAAAATTGTACAGATCTGCTTTTCTAGTTGCTACGTAAAACAGAGTAATACAAAACGCAGTGTTTTAAGACTTTGTCTAAAACACTGCATATTACAAACATGAGAACAGTAACAAGTTAGTGTTTAGCTAATTCTCTGCTCAATATATGAAAATGGTTGTCTAGAAGATTACCCTTCTACAAATCAATTTGATACTCCCCTTGATTGTGTGGTCTTGATTTACGCAGAAAATCTTTAGTATTTTGATAGCTCGAGTTATTTAACTGTTGAAGTATCATTGTGTAACATATCTTCGATAGCCAATGCCAAGGGCGGAATATATTTTATATGCAAATATAAAGTTTCTATGTTTATACATAGGGTAATACTACACGTACAAAATAACTTACAAAGATTTCTTATATAAAGTGATGTGACAAAAGATAAATTGAAAAGTTAATATAATGAATTTAGCTTTTTGTATTCATCCCTTCATTAATCTCTTATCACGTCACTTTGTATAAAAATTCTTGTAAATTTCTTTGTAAATCTAGTATTATTATTATATATAATAAGTCTTATAATTACTCATTAAACATTTACATTGTGGATTACAACTTTTAAGCTACGTTTTATTGCAATATATATTTAAAGTATCACTGTAGAAACTTCTATTAAACAAATACAAATTAAGTTTAAGAGAAAAGATTATATATATATATTAAATTTTGTATTATTTTTGTATTTCAAGTAGTTAAAATTTAATCTAATTTGCATAATTAATTACATTATTGATGACACACTAATTAATTTATTGTTAATTATTTCGTGTGCTTTACTAATCAGAAGGATATATCAAAAAGAAAAAAATAAAGAGAGACATAAAATGGTAAGTTATTACATTTTATAAAATATAAAAAACTTATAAAGAATACAAGAATTAAATCAATAAAATATAAAATAAATAAGAACATAACTTAATATTTTTACACTAAATATTTAGAACATATTTCATCAGGTGTTAATATGGTGGGGTGGCCAATAAAATTATTCTTTTACTTAATATATATAATACTTCTACTCAAAAAAGGGAATTATTCTTTGGTCAGGAGACTCAGGACCGAGGGGTGGTCATGGCCATCTCAGGCCAAAGAATAGCTCTTCCCATGGCCGATGCACATATTAATGTTCAAGACTTTTTCGATATGATAGAGGACCGTATCCCAAGAGTCCTGAAACTAATTGATAGAATTCACAGAATTAAATCTCTTATTTTATATCGTGATACTTTCCAGGTATTGTAAATAATTTTTCTTTATCAATCATTGGTAGATGGCCTTTTGTTATCTATTATATTTAATTCTATGGAGAGACATAATTGTGAGATTGGATTTTTCTTTTCTTTTTCAAAGTTTTTCTCAAAAGAAGATAATCTAGAAACTCGTCTGCCTATCTTTCACAACTTGATGTATTTGGAGGTGGAACAGACATTGAGTTGTGATGAAAGTTTAGTGTTGACATATTTTCTTCATAAATCGTCTAATCTGGAATCTCTTGATGTATCAAGGTAACAAAAATTAAATTTGAATGAATGAGCGCATAAAATATCCTCAATACAAAGTACACCTGCTCTTGAAAGGTAAAAACGAAAGTAATTATTTTATGCTGAGTGATTTAGAGGTGTAAAAGCTAACAAGTTCTTATGATGTACTGCAGCAGCTACCCATAAACCAACACTCATCTTCGAATATATGAACGCCCGTGAAAGCAGGTAATCTTTTCACATAATTGAAGAAGCCCTTGGTCACAATACACAAGTTGGCAGAGAAGAAATAATGTAAAAGAGGATATTGTAAGGTAAGTTGCTGATTATATCTTCTCTGTTAACTGCATTTTCTCCAATCAAAATACCCAAATGTCATATCTAAATCACAAACCCTCTATTTATTGGAAAATAACCCCTTTTAAAATCCCTTATATCTAATATGACCCTCTCGCTTTGTTGAAGGATGGAATGGAATTACATTACTATATAAAAGAAAAAATAAACTTTTATTTGAAACTTTTATATGCTTAAATACAAAACCTAACCCTAAATCCATGTCTAAATTGTTTAACGGGTTAAAAATTGAAGAAAATAACTTACCTCTTATATAGCTTATAATGAATCCAAAAATAAACAAATGAAAAATAAAGATCTGATTTCTAAAATTGTATTTGTGTTTCTAAAATTGTATGAGGACTATAAAGTATAAAGACTTTTAGAAGATGTCATTTATCAGATGTCTTTCCCTCTACCATTATACAAGAAATATAAAAGAGTTTAAAAAAAAAAAAAATACCCAGAAGAAATCACTATAATTTTATTTTATAGTCTTTATAGTCTTCATACAATTTTACCTGCAATTTCTATGAATCAGTCTCTTCATGCATGTTGACCAAATTCTCCATTACATCTTTAAACATCACTAGCATTACCATCAACTTCGTCGTCTCCATAATCACTACCCAAATCATCCAATATCCCAGTGGAAGAAAACCCAGAAAAATTCAAATTAATTAGGCCACCTGCAACCCGCCACATGATCAACATATAATCTATACGGAATCACATGAGTCAAGCTTTTGGGCTCCCTAGGTCTTGTCCTAGGATCATACAAGCTAGGAGCAAGGGACATTCTACAGTTGCCACATTCTCCTGAAACTTGGTGTGAATGGTAAGCTTTGGTGACACACTTTGGTAAATAACCCAGAAGTCCAACGTGAGTCAAACTTGTTAATGAACCGGGTAACAGATCTCAGCATCCATAGAGAGGGCATGACCCGATAGGTCCTAACCATACCATTTAGTCGAAGTACTCATGGAACAAAGACAAATATATTTACAACTCATTCTAGTAAATAAAGAAATCAAAGGTACTTTCTAAACTAGTTGACTCAGCAAATCTTCAATTTTCATTTAATATTTTGTTTTGGTTGATCCATTTGAATAAATCAACAATTCTATATTTCAGCATGCTTCAGGTGTTTAGTCTATGAAAGATTTAAAATGATTAACTAATAGCTTTAACCAACAGAAGAAAATTTGCAAAAACACAAATATATTAATTCCAAGAACCATGCAACTAAGATACACCAAATGTAGTCTATCAATTGCCTTAAACATAACAAAATATTAAATCCCTGATCATATTATAATCAAATTATAATACTAACAACTTCTGAATTACCATCCCACCCCTCACGAAACTCAATTTCAACATTCCTTGTTCCTTTGCCAATTACTTGTAATTGATAGTTGATCTCCTTCTTCATCTTCAAATATTCCTCCAACTCATTAGGACAAAAGATTGTAACCCTCTCCATTGAGTCCGCATTCTCAAATAAATATCTTAAATTTTTCAAGTCTCCGTCCACCCAACATTTAATACTGGCAGTTTTGAGGAAACGTTTCAAATACAATGGTGCAACATGCATTACCCAGTCATTCACAGCAAAGTAAAATTCCTTCAAAAAAATCAATTATTATTTATTTAAGGTAAGAGAAAACCAATATAAAAAGACCACGTATTGGAAAATTCATACTTACCTGCCAAACATCAAGAAATTCTACATTAGGTGATTTTTGAAGAAAATATTTAAACATATAACTTCCATCTTCACACAAGAACTCTGCATTCATCTTCAAATGAGTCAAGTTGTGAAAAACAGGCAGACCAGCTTGAAGTTTTAGATCATTTCTATCAGCCAAAAACTTCAGAACAAATGAAAAGAAAAGAATTAATCTCAAGAATGAAAGGTCAGATTAAAGAATTGAACATAATAAAAAACAAAAGGTTCAACAAATAGTTGTTCAAGAAATGGCGATTTACCTCAATGGTAACACCCGACAAAGCAAGAGATTTTACATTGCGAATTCCATTTATTAATTTGAAAGCTCGTTGATTACTATTGTCTTTCTCCATGCCACAGTCTAACACATTAATACGCGCATTGACTAGTGAAGCTAAGTTACACAAAGAGACTTCCACAGTCAAATAACCCTTGACATCAAGTGAAACAAGATTTTCAGCATAAATCATGACCACACAATCAAGGACAAGATCATAGTCCGAGTAATAGCTATCTTCCAAAAATTTAAATTCCCTTAGAGTGGGAATTGAAATGGTGACTCTCTTAGTATGCTTCCATGCACAGTTCAATAAAACCAGCTCTTGTAAAACTGGACAACCAGCGAAAAATTGATTGGTGGATTCATCACCCGGAAATGCTAGTTCTCTAAGGTGTAAGGTCTTAAGGTTGGAAAAGTGTACGAAACTAGGAACATTGAAAATTGAATATATCCGCAATTTCAGTATTCTAAGTGATTCAGCAGTGAAAAGACTATTGGGCCACACAAAGGGTGTTTCAAAAGATATATCGAGTTGGAGCTCTTGAACCTCACGACTTAATGCTAAAGATACCCAAGAATTAATACGAGATGAACTGATACCCATACACCTTGCCACCAAACTAAATTTTCGTATCTAAGTGATTCAGCAGTGAAAAGACTATTGGGCCACACAAAGGGTGTTTCAAAAGATATATCGAGTTGGAGCTCTTGAACCTCACGACTTAATGCTAAAGATACCCAAGAATTAATACGAGATGAACTGATACCCATACACCTTGCCACCAAACTAAATTTTCGTATCTAAGTGATTCAGCAGTGAAAAGACTATTGGGCCACACAAAGGGTGTTTCAGAAGATATATCGAGTTGGAGCTCTTGAACCTCACGACTTAATGCTAAAGATACCCAAGAATTAATACGAGATGAACTGATACCCATACACCTTGCCACCAAACTAAATTTTCGTATACATGTGGGATCATGATCCTTCAGTACTCGTTCCATGGAATCCAAGAAGCTAGTCTCAATGTTTTCCTTCATCCCCGACATGTACCCAGCACTATACTGATCAAAATCAATGTTAGAAATAGAGGTCCAAAGGTATCTCCATCTCGTTGACAACACAGAAGTTGTTAAAACATCTTTGATTGGCAGAAAAGAAAGAACATAAAGGAGGATATGGTCAGGTAATTTGCTGATTAGATCTTCTCCAATGAAAACTTTCTGGGTTTTGGAAATAGATGGTGGATTTAGAGCGCCCATTCTGCACAATTTTCTCTCCCTGAATTAAATAATTCATTAAGAAGATGGTACTAATTAGAGTTCTTCTACTACTAACAGTAACATATTATTTCACAATTTCATCACTATATAAAATACCCAAGACTTTGATCTAAATTACAAAGAATTTAAATTCGATAACCCTAAATTGTTATTGCTGAAGCATATCTAAAAGAGAAAACCAAATATCCACATAACTCAGATATTAACAAATGTGAATAAGAATGAAGCGTACCTTAGTGGAAGAAGAAGAATGTCAAGCTATTCCCTTTAGATTCCCCCAACAAAACTTAAATAGAAACCACGTCGCTTGTAGAAGCCTTGTAAAAGCAATTCAAAAGTTACAATCACCAACAGATTCTAGACTGTAGCAATTCACACCATAACTTTTCAATAAATGACATTTTGTTCCTTTCATTATATGAATAATATTAAATGTGAAAAAGGATGTGTCAATTAATTTTGATATAAAATATTAGATTAAAAAAAGCCTAAACTATAATTCTCTTCACATAAAAATAGTAAAGAAAAATAATTGATTGAGAATCAAATTAAGCCAACATAGTATACACCACTAAAATGTTATGAAAGTTTGTTTAAACGTGTTCATTAAACATTTACGGAATGAGTTGATTGTGTTCGTTAATGTTTGGAGGAATGTTCATTCAACATCAACATAGTATCAAGCATAAAAGATATAGGACCTGTTTAATAGATTATTTGAAAACTGTTATTCTGGAAAAACTATTTAAGTTGAGTTGAGTTGAATTAAATCGAATAGGATATGATTCTCAGAATGCATTTGATATAATATCTTAAAATTATATTAGTGTAGATAAAATGTTGAATAGTTGTTTGGTACATTTTTTGAAAACATTTTATAAAAATATTTAAATTTTTTAACCCCCTTAATTTGTTAATTTAACTAAAAACAACCCCCACCCCCCTAAAAAAATAATAAAAGTTTAAAAAATTAACAAAAACACCCTACCCACCCAAGCCACTGTCAGTTGCTGGCCACAACCGTCGGACGACAGCCGACATTCGTTGGAATGGTGCAAGATTGATTGGATTTGACCGGTCGTGCACCAATCTGACCTTTTCCAACCAAATCTACTGCGGATCTGACTAGAAACGGCCAGATCTATAGCCAAAATCTGGTCATTAACGATGGCAAAAATCTGGCCATTGTTAACGACTGGATTTGGCCAAAATCTGGCTGACAACGATCAGATCTCTGGTAAGAAACAGTCAAATCAATGCATGATCAGCAAGATCCGATCAATCATTCGTCGTTCTGGCGACAGTAGTGACCAGTGGTGATTGTTGGCAATCAGCAGTGGTCATGAGTGGATGAATTTTCAGATTGGGAGGAGTGAAAAGTAATTATTTTTAGTTGAATAGAGTTAGAAAAATGATTTGAGTTGAATAGAATATGATAATAGAAAACAAGTACCCCTTATTTTTATTTTCAATAGAAAAAATCTTATTTCATTCGGATTAATTTTCAGAATAATAATCTCAATAAGTAAACAAACACATAGTATATTTTTTAATCCAAATAGGATAACAAAAAAATGATTCAAAAGAGTGAAACAAACTTGGGCATAATGTAAAGCACACTAGAGATTTTTACAGGCTAAAACCCATTTTAGCCTACATCCTTGAGACTGAGTCTAGATTAAGCAAATCCACTATAGCAAACACGTTCTAAGTCAATACAGAGTCGAAATTAAGTACAACAATTGCAAACAACTCCCTGTTCTAAAGGACTTTGTGCATTAAACATTTGCGGAATAGGCTGATTGTGTTCGTTAATGCTTGGAGGAATAGTTATTCAACATTAACACAATATCAAGCATAAAAGATTATAAAGTAAAGCACACCAAAGATTTTTACATGGTTAAGCTAAAAGCCATTTTAGCCTATATCCATAGGTCCAAGTCCAAATTAAGCAAATCCACTATAGCAAACATGTTCCAAGTCAATACAAAGTTGAAATTAAGTACAACAATTGTAAACAACTACTTGTTTTACAAGACTCTAATTCCACCTTCTGATTATTCTAACGTTCTGCTACAGATTGCCTAAGTCCAAGAATCCATTTGAACAGCTCGAGCTCCACTTAAGCTTCAATGGACGAAATTTACTTTCAGTTCCACAACTTGAACTTCCTTCAAGCTTTCAACAAAGGAACCACATTCTAACAAACACTTCACAACAAGATAAGTTCATCAAAATGTTGAGCAGTAAACAATATAAGGAACCTGACCAAATGAACAAACTCTGTAAGAAATTTCAAAAAACAAATAATGGAATATTCAGGTTCAATAAATGCAAGGAAGAAGATGATGAACATATATAATCTTTGCTTAACTAATCTCATCAATACACGTAGCAGGCAAACCCTACCAACCTTTATTGGACCAATAACACATTCTAACAACCTTGTTGGACCACTTTAGGATAGACAACACTTGTAAAGTGACTTTTACCACAAGCTTCAAGGACAAAAATATATCAACAAGGCAAATAAAAATTTTACCTGTATTGTGAAATTTAATTCATAAAATGTTTACACAACTAAGGAAAATGTTCACACATATTTGCAATATATTCAGACAAAGGAGATGTGTACACATAACTTTATAAGTTGATAAAAAAACCTTACGATTATCTTATCATTGATTTATTTACTGACAAATTGGTATGTTATCTATCATTCTTATTTACTAATTTTTTCCCCTTCATAGTTACTAGCCAAATGATCCAATATCTCCGTTGTAGAAAACCCAAAAAAATTCAAACCAACTTGCCACGTGATAAGTCATAATTTGAGACCAAATCATATGGCTTAAGCTTTTGAGTTCCCTTGTCCTTGGAGTTACAAGTGGGTGCAAATGACATTCCATTCCACACACTGTGGCTAGCCACACATTCCAGGAGTTAACTATAAATTGTATTCTGACTTGAATAAAATGAGTAATTGCCGTTCTGGGTCTCTCTGTGTAGGGAGTTGCTTTGGTAATTGGTTAGGCGGAGAAGCCTTGGGAAGCAAGAGAGTTGTTTCACTTTAAAATCTCCTTGAAATTAATTATGTCCATCAATTCATCATATTGTATTCATCAGTGCTGCTGCTGCATTTCAGATTTCAGATTTTGATTTTGAATGTAAGATCATTATTCATTAGTTTGAAAAACACAAACGTACGAAACTTAACTACAATGTCTGTTTTTCCCTGGCGAATTAACTGTAACTGATGCTTAATCTCCTTTTGCTTCTCTAAATCTACTACTAAGTCCTTTGGAAAAAAGATTTTAACCATCTCCAGCATGACCGCATTCTCAAATAAATATTTTAAAAACTTTAAGTCTTCATCCTCCACACCAGAACATGAGATGATGGCAGTTTTCAGGAAACGCTTCAAATCCAATACCCAACCTTTTATTGTTATTTAAAATGTCTGCATAAAACATCTCCAAATGATTTTTTATATGACCTAAACTCTTTATTATTCATAGAAATAAGAGTCCAACAGACTCTTTATTCTTTAAATATAAATTAAAAAATTAGTTTGACTTTCTATATTTAAAGAGTCAAATTTTATTCTCTATCCTAATTTTAAATAATAAATTACAAATTTCTATGCATTTTATTTATAATTTGTCTATCTCATTAAATTTCTTTCTTATAAAAACATATTCTTTCTCCTAAAATTTATTTCTTTCTTATAAAAATATATTTTTTATCCTAAAATTTAAAGAGTTTATTGGATTTGAATAAAAATTTTATTGGAGATGAATTACATACAATTTATGGTAAGAGGCAAATGGCAACTAATCTCATAAATTTTTGCACAATGCAGAACACTAAATTACAATTATAGAAAGTACGTAAAATTTAATTGGGCATTGAATATACCTTTGGTGCATCTAGAGATTCCAGATTAGGTGATTTATGAAGAAAATATGTCAACACTAAACTTTTATCACAAATCAACGTCTGACGTTCCACCTTCAAATGAGTCAAGTTGTGAAAGCTAGGTAGACGAGCTTCTAGATAATCTTCTTCTCTGAAAAACTTTGAACGCAGGAAAGAAAAGATAAAAAAAAATTCAGTCTCACAATTACATGTCTCTCCAAAGAATTGAATATAATAAATGGCTAAAGGCCATCTACGAATAATTCATAAATAAATATAATTTACATTACCTCAAGAGTAGCAACACACAAAGTAAGAAATTTAACTCTGCTAATTCCATCAATTATTTTTAGGGCTCGTGGCATACAATCCTCTAGCATTTCGTAATAGTCTTGAACAAAAATATGTGCATTGGCTTTTGAAGATATGTTACACAAAGATACTGTCAACAGTCAAATAACTCGAGCAATCAAAATACTCAAGATTTTCTGCATAAATAAAGACCTCACAATCATGGAGAGTCTCTCTTCGATCTGTATAAGGGTAATCATCTGGATAGCCATTTTCATAAATATATAATTGTCTTACATAGGGTATAGAAATGGTGTCTCTCTCAGTATGCTTCCAGTAGCAGTCGATTAAACCCAACTCTTGTAGAACTGGACAACCAGAAAAGAGTTTTTGGCCGGTATGATCTTCTGAAAATTCAACCGCAAAGTGCAAGGTCTTAAGGTTGGGCAAGCGTATGAAACTTGGAACTGAACAAAATAGAAACAATAACAGGAACAAAATAATAATAGTAAAACAAAACAAACAGTAAACAAAGAAAATAATACGCGCGATTTACCCTGGTTTACCCAATGTGGGCTACGTCCAGCTGAGTCAATATTATTGCAATATGCCTCACCTCTCTCGTTTACAATGAATGAATTGCTCTCACACTCATAACAAGAGAAAAGTATGTTTATATACTAGGTTTAAGAGATTAAACATAGTTTTACAAGGATTCCTATTCCTAAGCTCAACCCAAAAGGGAATTAATAACTTAAAAGAAATCATACAGCGGTTATACATGGAAAAGCCCAAAACCGCCTACGGGCTCGGGGGCGCTGCCCCCGCGACCCCCGCCCGCTCACCGGGGAGTAGGGCAAGGTCAAGCTCTAGAACCCCCGAGTGCGTCTCCGTTACCCTTTAATGCTGAAGTAGTCGACAACTCAAACAGGAACCACCAGCTTTGAATACGTTAGTAATTTCAGTATGTTGAGTGACTCAGCACTTAAAAGACTATTAGGGAACATGAAGAGTGTTTCAGCAGGTAGGGCAAGGTCAAGCTCTAGAACCTTATGACTTGTTGCAGTAGATGTCCATGAATGAATACGTGATATACTGATACTCATCCACCTTGCCACAAGACGAAATTTTTGTATACATGTGGGATCATGACGGTTGAGTACTCTATCCACAGAATTCAAGAAGCTAGCCTTGACGTTTTTGGGCATCCCATCCAAGTAATCACGCCAGATCTTCCCATTGAAATTAATGTAGATATGGAGGTCCAAAGGTACATCCATCTTTTTGACAATACTGAAGTTCTTAAAACATATTTGGTAGGAAGGAAGGAAAGAATGTAATGAAGAATATTGTCTGGCAGTTTGCTGATAATGTCCTCACCTTCACCACCGTCCTTTACTATTTTTTTCTTCTGGGATTTTGATTTTGGCGCTGGAATGATGTTATTCATCCTCACTATTCTTCTCTCCCTGAAAATAAGATGAGGGAAATTTAATTATGAAGAATGGTTAGTGCCGTATATATGAGCATTAGATAAACAAAACACATAAGATATTAAATATCTTAGTTAAATGTTTGAATATGAAATGTATCAGCAAATGTACCCACAATAAAACTGCTCTGAAACGATTGTTAATTTTTAAACAAAACTCAGTACATGATACTCTTCAATGAACATAGAAAACTTGATAGTAGTAAAGAATACAAATCAAATACAACAAAAGAATTGCAGCTAAAACGATTGTTAATTCTCAAACAAAACTCGGTACATAATATCCTTCAATGAACATAGAAAACTTTATAGTCATAAAGAATAAAAATCAAATACCCACAAAGCATTGTAGCTAAAACTTAAGTGAAAGTAATGAAATCAATAAATTTCAAAGTCAAATCAGATGCACCTTAATCAAAGAACAATTGGGGTTCACACAAATCTTCAGTCTTCAGTTTCTAATTGAGTTTCTACTTTTCTGAGAAAATTAGAGTCAAGGCGTTGTTCAGTTATTAACACACTGAAAATAGGAAGGGGCTTAAATTTCATTAATTAAACGGGTTGCTTTTCATTTCCCAGGAAGTGAGACTTTATAACTTCTCATTACTCACAGATGGTGGCACATGCGTCTCTTAATTTATTTAGTAACTAGTTCAAGGCCCACACGCAGGTTGCTTATGAAATTGGTTATATCAAGCTGTTTTTTAAAGTGACTTTCTTTGATACCATGTCTTTTTGGACAATGTAACAATCTGGATAAAACCAAATTAAAGAGGAGGGTGCGGAACCTGCTTAGGTATGTATCAGTAATCAAATCACCTGGTATAGCTATCAAATTGGAGGTTCCAGACCAAATACTAACCACATGAACCAAAAGTACCATCCATATTATATTTGGTACATAGATAAACAGTAATGTTACAAAAATATCACAGATAAAACAACTGATCCAGTGATTCTGAAACTACAGGTTGCTATTGCCAATGCCATTCATTAAACTAATCTCAACAGAGCCTCTATCTTTTGTAATGAGAACATCAAATAAATGCTACATAAATATGAAACAAACACCCAGTTGAGGAGTTTAAGGGTGAAAATACATACACTCTGGAAGTAAATAAATGCAGCAAACTTTATCAACCTAAGTAAATAACCTCAATAGCAAAGTCGTTTTGATTATAAGCAGACTTCAGAATATAGTAGCATGCCCGTAGAACATCTAGGTGCTTTCTCAATTGGTTGTTATTGGAGTTGAGTTATGTTTGCCTGTTCAACTCATCACAAATATGATTCAACGTATTCTTGTCACAAAATCAAGTACCAGAGCAGAGAGTGCTTCATTTAAATAACAAACTATTAGAACTTCAACAATATATATAAATTATATATTTGGCTGTAGGAAAAAAATAAATTTACCTATATATCAAATTATTATACATAATTTCTTATCCACTCAAAAGCAAAAGGAAGTAAGACTGAGAAAAGTTATATTAATGTATTAGAGTTAATTATTAAACTTCATTACCTATAGTTGATTTTCCACCCAGATGATCTCTTTAGTAGGTGCATGTGAAATGTGAGTTGTGCTTCTACTCTGAAAATAGACATCTCAAAACAAATAATTATTCATTATCAACAATGTAACAATCTGGATAAAATCAAATGAAAGAGGAGGGTGCAGAACCTTGCTTGTAGATAAATATGGGTAAATTTTTGCTTTGTTGAAATTGCAACGCACTATTTGCATTTGGGTTGGAAGACATGTTTTCGATATAACTGGTTTACCGCCGTTAATTACTAGCAAAGAAGAGTTTTTGTGATGCATGTGAACACGTCTTGTTAAAATACCTGTATAGAGAATAAACACAACATCCGGGCCATAATTTTTTGGCGAATTAATGGGGCAGATGACAAGGTACTTATGTATCAATGCTAGAACATATCTTCTAGAGAAGAATTTATGAATGGTAAAAGATGGGGCATGTGACAAGGTACTTATGTGTCAACCTAGACCCCCAACATTTGATAATTTAGCTAAAACACCCCCGTCACAAAAAAGTTTAAAAGTTAACAAAATACCTCCAACCACCCAAGACTACCGCTAGCCGCTGGCGAAAGTCATCATATCGGCACAAGACCGATAGGATCTTGTCGATCGTGTGTCGGTAAGAAAGTTCTGGCCATGGATTTTGATCCATGGCCGGAAACGACCAGATCTGGCCGTTTCACAGCCAAAAATATGGCTGTGAAATGCTATAGATCTAGCGATGAAAAGGCCAAATCTTTGGTCGTGAAATGGCCGCTGTTTCACGACCACATCTTTGGTCGTGAAATGGCCGCCGTTTCACGGCTACATCTTTGCTCGTGAAATGATCACATTCAAGGCTAGATCTAGCTGTGAAACGGCCATATTTGGCTAGATTAAGCCTTAACAGCGCACGACCAGCTAGATCCGACCGGTTGTACGCCATTATGGCGGTTGCTAGCGGTAGTGGTTGGCTGCCGACGATGGCTGGGGGTGAGTGGGGGTGATTTTGCTACAAATTAAATTGTATATGGTTGGGGTATTTTAGCAAAATTTCAAATATAGGGGGGTTAAAAGAAATTATAGAATAAAATAATATTATTATTTAAAAAGAAAGGTAATTTAGTAATTTATATAACATACCCATTCATTTATCCTCCCAACCAAATATATTATTATAACATACCCATCAATTTATTACAACTGACCATTTCTCTAAAGATTTTCTAGTAATCTATCTTTTCAGTAATACAACATTCCTTAGTGATATAACATTCTTTGAACCAAACGCACCCTTATTTTTATTAAAGATGTGTACAGGATTCTTGAACAATGAAATAAGTAGCCGATACCACAGCATTCATTGAATATAATTGATGCTTTAATAATATACCTTAAATATAGGGAGCTTTAAAGATCTAAGACAGCAACAATCTTTTATTCTCGTGTAGAAAACAGACGCCAAAAAAGTTTATGTGACACTATTAAAAGGAGTTCAAATTATACCAAAAACAGAATATATCAAATTAAATCAGCATTACAACCAAGCTTTATCCCTTTCAGTTTGGTCGAAACTTAGATTCCCGCTTCATAACATTATGCCTTCCATCATCAACATGATCTTCATCTCCAACTTTTATCATCTCATCTCTTCATGCTTGACACCAAAATTCTCCCATTAAATCTTCAAAATGTTGACAAAATTGACCATTAGAACTTCAAACATCACTGCCATTAACATCAACTTCCTCATCTCCATAATCACTACCCAAATGATCCAATATCCCCATGGCTGAAAACCCGGAATAAATCAAACCGGGTTGGCCGCCACGTGATGGACTTATATTTTGAGGCGAAATCACGTGAGTTAAACTTTTGAGTTCCCTTGGTCTTGTCTTTGGATTTACAAGCCGGGTGCATATGACATTCTACACAACGTGGCTTTTCACATTTTCCTGTAAACTTGGAGTGATTGCTGGGCTGTGATGGCACTTTGGTAAATAACCTGGAAGTCGGGGGCGAATTGAACTTGTTAACGAACCGGGTATCGGATCTCAGGTCTCGGGTTCCATGAAGATGGTATGACCTTATAGGTCCTCACCATTCCATGTTGGCGACCATCTCTCTTCATTTTGTACAAAAATGTGTTGTTGGCTTAAATGAAATGAAGAAGGATGAGGAATAGTGTTCCTATGGGTGTCTTTTATATATGGTTATTAAACAGAAAAGACTTGGGAATGCTTTAATCAATGTGCTTGTGGACCAAGACAAATATATAATGACAACTCATTCTAGCGAATAAAGAAATCAAGAGAAACAAACAATATAATTTCGTAACTAGTTGACTATTCTTGTTCATGCTATAATTTGATTAAATCAATTTGCTATGGTTGAGAAATCATGTTTATATTTTGTTGTGGTTGATCAATCTAAATTACTCTAGGGGTTTAGTCTGTGTAAACAGTTAAATGATTAACAAATAGCTTCAGCCAAAATTATGAAATCTGCAAAACACAAATAAATTAATTCCAAGAGCCATACGAATGAGATACACCAAATGTAGTCTATTATATCACTTGCATTAAGTAATACCATCAACAAAATATTAAATCCTTCATCATATTGTAATCTCCATTTTTTATAATACTACCTGCGCTTGCGCTCACGAAACTCAACTCCAACATTCGCTTTTCCTTTGCGAATTACTTGTAATTGATGGTTGATCTCCTTCTGCTTCTCCAAATCTACAGCCAAGTCTTTTGAACAAAAGATTGTAACCTTCTCCAGCACCCCCGCTTTCACAAATAAATATTTTAAATACTTTAAGTCTTCCTCCTCCCCACCAGAACATGAGATCAATGGCAGTTTTGAGGAAACACCTCAAATACTGTGGTGCAATATCCAATACCCAACCTTTTCTTGCCATGTAAAATGTCTGCATAACAATATATTATTTAAGGAAAAAGGCCACAAAAATTTTGAACCAAATTACAGCTATAAATAACACAGTAACAACTTAAATAGACTTTTGATAGTTACCTCTGGAATATGAAGAGATTCTACTTTAGGACATTTATGAAGAAAATGTGTCAACACTATACTTGCATCATTATAAAACGATGGCCGTCTCACCTCCAAATGAGTCAAGTTGTGAAAAATAGGTAGACGAGCTTCTAGATTATCTTCTCCCGATAAAAACTTTGAAAAGCAGGAAAAAAAAGTAATTCACGATGACAAGTCTCTCTAAAGAAGTGAATATAATAAATATCAAAAACCATTTACGAATAGTTGTTAAAGTAAAGTAATTTACCGTACCTCAACAGTTTCATCCCATAAAATAAGAGATTTAACACTGCAAATCGCATCAAATATTCTCAAGGCTCGTGGAATACAAATGTCTTGCATTTCGTACATGTCATCAAACCAAATTTCTGCCTTGACTATTGAAGATAAGTTGCACAAAGATACTTCAACAGTCAAAAAACTCGTGCAATCAATATACTGAAGATTTTCAGCATAAATCAGGATCTCGCAATAAAGGAGAGTATTAAATCGATCTGTAAAGGGGTAATCATCAGGACAGGCATCTTCAATTATACTAAATTGTCTTAGAGTGGGAATATAAATGGTGACTCTCTTAGTACGCTTCCAGTTGCAGTTTATTAAATGCAACTCTTGGAGAACTGGACAACCTGAGAAGATTTGTTGGGCAGATCGATCATCTGGAAATTCAACTGCAAGGTGCAAGGTCTTAAGGTTGGGGAAGTGTATGAGACTAGGAACCTCCAGCTTTGAATACGTCTTTAATTTCAATGTGCTGAGTGATTCAGCACTAAAAAGAGTATTGGGGAACATGTAAACTGATTCAGCAGGTAGGGAAAGGTCGAGCTCTTGAACCTTATGACTTAATGCAGTAGATACCCATGAATGAATACGTGATGTACTGATAACCACACACAACATTGCCACAAGACGAAATTTTTGTATACATGTGGGATCATGACGGTTGAGTACTCTATCCACAGAATTCAAGAAGCTAGCCT